GGGGGAGGAGGGGGGGGGGGGGGGGGGGAAGTAAAACTTGTGGGTTGAGACAAGAATTTTAATAGGACAGAAAGGAAAAGAATAATAATGATAATAATAATAATAAAATGACAATAATAATAATAACAAAATTGGAATATACAAAACAAGTGATGCACAATGCCATTGCTCACCACTCGCCAACCAATGCCCAGTTAGTTCCTGAGCAGCGATCCCCACCCCCCAGGCCAACTCCCCCCAGTTTATATACTGGGCATGACCTCACATGGTATGGAATATCTCTTTGGCCAGTTTGGGTCAGGTGCCCTGGCTGTGTCCCCTCCCAACTTCTTGTGCCCCTCCAGGCTTCTCACTGGCTGGGCACGAGAAGCTGAAAAATCCTTGACTTAGAATCATAGAAACATTTAGGTTGGAAAAGACCTTCAAGATCATCGAGTCCAACCATCAATCATGCCCACTAAACCAGGTCCTGAAGTGCCTTGTCTACGCACTTTTTGAATACCTCCAGGGATGTTGACTCAACCACTTCCCTGGGCAGCCTGTTCCAATACCTGAAAACCCTTTCAGTAAAGAAATTTTTCCTAATATCCAATCCAAACCTCCCCTGGCGCAACTTGAGGCCATTTCCTCTCATCCTATCACTAGATACTTGATAGAAGAGACTGACACCCACCTCGCTACAACCTCCTTTCAGGTGGCTGTAGAGAGCGATAAGGTCTCCCCTCAGCCTCCTTTTCTCCAGGCTAAACCACCCCAGTTCCCTCAGCCGCTCCTCATGAGACTTGTGCTCCAGGCCCCTCACCAACTTGGTTGCCCTTCTCTGGACACGCCCCAGCAGCTCCATGTCTTTCCTGTAGTGAGGGGCCCAAAACTGAACACAGGACTCGAGGTGCGGCCTCACCAGTGCCCAGTACAGGGGAACAACCACCTCCCTGCTCCTGCTGGCCACACTATTTCTGATACGGGCCAGGATGCCGTTGGCCTTCTTGGCCCCCTGGGCATACTGCTGGCTCGTATTCAGCCGGGGGTCAACCAGCGCTTATTATAAAGACTACTTAGCAACAACTGAGAACATCAGTGTGTTATTAACATTATTCTCATACTAAATCCAAAACATAACACTATGCTAGCTACTAGAAAGAAAATTAACTCTATCCCAGCTGAAAGCAGGACAGATGTTAATCACAGCAGTCAATAGGTTGTAGAGATACTCTTCTGCCAAAGGCTACACAGGCAGAAAAAATAACACTAAAAATTTTAAAATTTGAAGCAAAGACAAAGGTTTCTTCTACACATTTTTATTTTAAAAGGCACCTGTTTCCTGTCTGCATGCTAAATGAACTCAAGCTTGTCACAAGGCCCTTAATGCTGATTAACAGATACTTTCCATGTACCTAAGTGGTGACATTTTTGGCTAATAAGAAAATCCTTGACATTTTTCTCCCTCCTACAAAACGAGCAAAATTCCCAAACCAAAGAAGCTTGAACAGATGTAATCTCTTATCCTCAATTCACACTACACATAACCAACACTTTCAGCTGATAATATCCTTCTCCAGCATATCTTTCAATGAAAGAAAAAAAAAATCACAACTAATTTAGCTAGTGATCAATGTACATACCTTTAATAACGACAGCTAGAAATGAATTTGACATTATTTGACATTATTTTGACTCAAGAGTAGAAACATGGGATTTTGCTCCACTGACTGTTCATGTTGATGCCCTTCCAAAATCAAGCACTAACAAAAAAGACAATCACAAAAACCCTTCCTTGAAGCTTTAGAGGGGAAATAAAACACGTATTGACTATCCTTCAAGACAAGATTGAAGACTTCAGTTTAATCTTCATGTCTGCTTGTAGGCTTGAGGTCTAGGACTGACAACTCACGAGAAACATGAAAATTAAGAGGAAAAATCATGTCATCTTTAAACTATTGCATGACAAAGAATACCATAAAAATATATAAAGTCAGGACCTACACAAGCCTAGATTCTGGATAAGATTCCACTAAACTGAATGCCAAGCTGCTTTCTTTCTACTCACATTACTGGAAACCAAAGCAATAAAAATATTTACATCAAAAGAAAGGAGACATTTTTTTCTGTTTAAAGCTGTAAAGGTCTGTAAATCTGTTTAAAATAGCTACTATTTAATTATAATCTTCATGAGTGCATTCTGTAAGTACTAGGTCAGAAACTCTCAGCTACTTTAAGTCCTTGCTTTAGAATCAGTAAGATTGCAAGACCTGCAGTGGACAGAGAAGACAACAGCAATCCTTGCATAATCAGCCATAAAGACTTCAAGGACACAAGCAGAGCAAAGGTACAGAGAAAGCAGAGAAAGTAGGTATCTATCTACTTTTCAGGCAGTTCTATCTCTTTATGGCATATTAGTGACCAGTTTTGATGCTGAAGGAAGGTAAACTTAAGGGTAAGTTCAAATCACCAAAGCTAAGCCATTGATTATTTCTCACACTCCACATGAGCAGGACTGTGCTGCTTTGCTGGACTGGACTGCTTTCATGAACTGTGGGCTAGAAGCAAGAAAACAAGTTATCAAATTCCTGTCTTGTGTCTCTCTACAAAATCCTACGGATCCTGCCCCACAATGCCCAGTAGCATCTTGGACACTATGGAGCAGGTAACGAGAGAGCACTGGGATGGAAACATTTGGCAATAAATTGCACAGGGCCATCACATCTCATAGGAAAGGAGTTTGAGACTTCCTGTCAGAGGAATATATGGCTTTTAACCTAACAAGAGTCATTTTCACCTGACAGTATCAACAGGTGATAGTAAAGATCATCATCTTTTGGTTGCACCTTCTGTGTATGAAATTAAGAAAATTCACCTGGAGGACACAGAACTGAAATTAAATATATCATATCTCAGAATTAGAGTTTGCTAAAGGATTACTTAAAGGCATTAGGCTCATTAAGATGAGTTTATGCAGCTTTGATGACTCTGAAACTCTACCGACTCCGCAGAAATGTTAAGTCTATCAAAGTATGCCTGAACAAGATTAAGTGTGTAGGAAAATCAGTAATCAAGACTTGTAGGCCAGGTTGTTTCAGGCAACTGTTGCATAACAACGCCTGGGGAAAAGAAAAGGAAAAAAAAAAATCATTTCACAGACTCTTTCAGTCTGGGAGAAGAGACTAAATACTTCAGCAGCTTTTACTTCCTTCCCTTTTTTTTTTTTTTTAATTACATACCAAAGAATTAGCACATGTACACACTGAAGAATTAACTGTTTGAATTCAAGTTCTCACAGTTATGCCAAAGATGCTGGCATGAGCCAGTGCTACAGAATTTTAATTCCTGAAAGGATTCTTGTACAAGTTTAAAGTCTTAGGAGGAACAAACAAAAACACTTATTAAATTTTATTAAGTACATTATAGTCATGGCTTTCCAATTTTTTTTTCAAAAAATATGGGATTCCCTTTCAGCAATTACTAATGTTATGCTTGCTTTTCTCTGTTCTCGTGCGCAGATCCTCAAAAATCATTGTCAAGTCTGTCAGGTCAAAATACAGACACTGATTTAACAGAAGATTATTCGGACACATTCAAGGACATGTACAACTCAAGTCACCTATCTCTGACAGTTCACTTAGATCACAGGAACATGAAAAACAACCTTCAGGGACTTTGAAACTAGAAAGTGACTTTCTTCGAAGGATGCTTTTCATCTTTGTTCGAAACCATTCTCTTTTGAAAACAAACTATATTAAAGAATTCAATTAAATGCACTTTATCATTACCATTTAGATATGTGCAAGGCTTTTTTGCATTTTCTACAAGAAAACCAAAATACAGAAAATAAGAAAATATTTTGGGTTTTTATGTTCCTTATGAAATACATCAGAATCCGGATGCGGGAAAGTCATGATATACCACGGTATAGGTGTCAAAGTTTTTACGCTGTTTTTTCCTAGAACCCTTTTTACATCATTTGCCTACTTCTTAGCTGACCCTCTCATGTTTCTGTTCTCATCACAATGGGAATTCTTCAGAGGGCTTCCTATCTAGCTCTCATCAGCCCTGAGGGCATATGCTGCCCTGTAGTAAACCTACTGTATGTAAGGACAGGTTGAGGGGGAATGTTGTTGAAGCACCTGAAAAAAACATAAAAAGCCACCCCATATCCAGAGTTCTGCTGCTGCTGTTCGTCTTATATCAAGTCCTGCTCCTGCTTTTAGACTAGGCAGTGCACTCTGTGTATGGAAAAACACTGACCACCTTTCCAGAAAGCTAAAGGTCCAACTTCCAACATTATTGACAGAGATATAGAACTGGGTGAATTGAAAAAATTGAGCTACATGGGGACTGAAAGGTTCATGCCTGCAGAGCTCAATGCAGAATCACACTGTTTGACATTTTAGGCTCATAAAAATTTGCCACAGATTTTTTTTTATTTTTTTTTTTAATAGCAGTATGGAGAACTCTTTCCAGATTTAAAGAAAACCACAGACTGGAATAAACGTGCCTCAACAGCATCCTTCCATGTAGAAAACTAGAAATATAATTTTCACTGTGGCGTTGCATAATATTACATATATTTTTATCAAACAAATCTGCATTGTGATTTCAATCTAAAAAAAAACCAAGCAAAACAAAACAAAACAACCAAGCAGGTTCTGCACTGTCATTAAGAATATAGGCTTATCTACCTGTTCTCCATGCCCCCCTTGTTTTTTGGGGGGGGTTTTGCTGTCTTCAGAACCTGATTTCCCTCAGAAGACTTAGGACAGCCTCTTTTCCTCCTCTCTTCTGATTTCAACAGATTTTGCATCTTTTTTTTTAGGCAAAGAAAAAAATTATGACACTTGAGGCTGTGAAAGCTTACAAGCTGCTCACCCCGACGTACCTCTCTCAGGAATGGTTAATTTTGCCTGCTTCAGTATCATAATAAAAAACCCCAAGGCACATAAAGTAACACCCAAGAGAGCTTGTGCTCACCTGATGACAGTGTCCTGTTATGATGCTGGCCCACTTGATGCATGCTTTGCTGTAACAGAGTCAAACATTCTCCAAGGCAGCTCAGGGTGGCAGCAGAGGTAGCTTTTAAAAGCAGCAAGTCCTGATCCAAGGCAGAAAGTGGCCCAGAACTTGGGAGAGCTTCAATGGCTTGTACAAGATTCTTCTGTTGTCCCTCAACTTGGCTCATGATCTGTAAAGGTCCAAAAACATCTGCTGTCATAGGAAATATCACTATGTAGCTGTTAAATTCGTATGGGTTGATAGAGTGACTAAATGTGAAGAACTACCACAAATGGATGTTAATGTTCTGATCCAAACATACCATATACTTACCTACAAAAACGAAGAGCTTGAGACTACCAAAGGCCTGTAAAAATGTCAAGACTATGTTAGAGAAAATTGTCTCTTAAAATAGTAGGTTCATAGTAGGTTTAAAAGTGTGACTCATACTTTCTCAGTCTTCATAAGGAAAAGTATGAAAATGCTACTTCCTTCTCTATTACTAATTTAGGCTTAGATTTTCTTTCCTTTATATGTGATCTGAGACACCAGAGGAAGCTATACTGTCCCTCCTCCTTCTTTCCTACATAAAATAGCTAATCACAGTTTAAGAACAGTCATTTTTCATTTCTCAAGCATCAGTAAGGATTTTTTTATAAAAAATAAGGTAACTTGTGAGTTTACAGACATTAGCATAGGATGCAACTTAGAGTACTTATTTACTATCAGATATGAATACCAGCTGTCAGGGAGAAAGTTAATCTGTTTCTAGATTTGGACCATCCAGATGAAGACAAAATGCATGCTTGTATAGCAGATAAAAACAACATTATTTGAGCAGGCTGTTCTTTAAACAAATTGGCAAGCTTCCAAAATCCTTCTGAAAGCCAAAAGAAAAAGGAGATGTTTAAAACTTCTCTCTCCATTTTTATAGCCTGTAGGAAATTATACATGCACATAAGAAGCCTCTTTTCCTACACTTACCTTGCAAAGAACTTAATGCAAAAACTTAGAGGTTCATACTTGAGGTATCCAAAGCTTTCAGAAAAAAATATCTGAAGACTTTGTAAGCAACAAAGATTCAAGCTCCATTTGTCCAAGCTACTACACTGTAAAAATGTATTAGTATGAACTTCATGACTTTTGTATTACCGTTATCATATTTTCAAAGTATGGTGTGCTTCCTGTAGCCTACACTGTGGTAAATAGACTGATTAAAGCAGTATACCTTGAGCGCACTGAAAAGCAAGAAAGAAAACTGAACTCAAAGATGCAAATAACCATCCTTGCAAACAAGTTAGAGTAGAATTAAGTGAAAAGCTGTTGTTGCAAGGTTCGTAAAGAAATTTAGCCAAGGTTGCTGAAAGTTACAATAATGACATTTTAATAGTCAACATTTAAAACAGAGGCCAAAGCATCAGTAGAAGCCACAGTCAATTCTAATTCCCTTTGACAGAAAACAAGATCAGTCAGAAGGTGACACAGACCCCCACGATACGCAGCTTCTGGGAACTGCTAGAACCCCAGGCAGTGCTCTGCTTTGAGAGGTCACACACCATGTAACTGAGCTCCACAGCACAGAGGGTTGCTTCAAAGCTAAAACAAAACCAAAAGCACCACGGACACACATTCATGCAAATACTCCTCCCTCAGGAAGAGAGCTCAGGGAAGCAATCTGAAGGAACACCTAGGAGAAAAAAGATCATCTTCTCCCTGGAAGACAATATAATTGTATGGAAAACTGCTCCCCTCCTTTTCCCATCCTGCATAAGAGTGTGACATTGAAAACCTGACATTCTCATGCTTCACAGCAACAGAAATGTTCTATTTTCATTTTTAAGTGACTAGTTCTCCTATCTCTTTTTTTTTTTTGAGAGAAAACTTACAGTCCTGAAGATTTGCTTCCATAGGAAATAAAACCCAAAATAAAACTTCGAAAAACTCAGACATTTCCATTTTCCTCTCCCCTTTCTTCTGCAGCTAAGACAGAAGTGTAAGATAAATTGACCAGAGAGCTTAGGAAACATTTGGAAAATTAACTGAATGTTTGCAGTTATCACCTAGCCCAAAGCTTTACAGGCTTTTATCAACTATATTCTTCCTAGATTAGGAGAAATTTAAATAAAATCAATGATTTATTCTCCCTTCATCCAAAACAAGGTATTGCTGAGTCTTACTGTTCTCTAGCTGAAGTAAGATAGTTTTAAAGAAGCCTTTTTTATTCATCCTTTCTGCACTACCTAGCTTTACATTATAGTTGAGATACCAACAGCCGTTCTACAGACCTGACAGAGCAGAGACACCAGGAGCAGCAGCTTCTGTGTAGGATTCAAAGTATTAGAACTTGCTGAATATTTGCTGCTTGAGCAGTGATCAAAAAAACCACTCTGTTTAAGGTGCTGAATGAACAGAACAAAAAGGAAGAACCTCCCCTATTCTAGAGTCATAGAACAACTCTGTGGCAAAAAGGGAAGGAATTAACATATATTATTGAAATAACTGAATTTTTTTACATGCTTGCCAATTGTTGGATTTTTTTAAGTCTTTAACAAAAGATATTAAAAGAGTTCAAGTGTGGTTGATCTAAAAAAAGAATATATCAAAGAGGAGCCAATACAAAAACACCAAACCATGCTAGATAAAACTCATTAAATAACACATTAACCCTTAACAGGACAGACACTAGGCCATGCAGCTATAGCATTGTCCTCTACCTTACTTGTTGGTCTGCTTTTTGCTATCGTGGGGCGAGGGGAGGCAGAGCGCTTGATTTATCAGCACTCTAAGCTGGTTTCAAAACCAGAATGAAAAGCTTTGATTTTGAGAAAGTTAAACTGTAACTTTTGTTTTGCAAAGTGAAATAACTTCCTTAATTTTGAATGACTTTGCTCTTACACAGGGTTACTTTAGTACCTTACAGCTCTCCATCCTCCCCATTTGCAAATAGAGACAGCTCAAAGTAGTAGTTCTTTACTTTTTAAAAACACCAAAGACTATTTGTCCCCATCTCCTCATCAAGTTTCAAGCCACTTCTCCTTCCACTCTTGTTTCAGTTTTGGCACACCCTCTCCACCTATAAATAGCTTCTCATAATATGGAAAAGAAACCGCATATTCCCACAAATGCACTCAAACTTCAGAAATACAACTCTACGCTAAATATAAAATAGAAAAACTAAAAGAACTTTCAGGACTACATGTATTAAAAGGAATTATATGCGTGCATGTATCTAACGTTAGTAGCCCTTCATTTACCTAACTGCAAAACATTCAGTAAGGAGAAGCCTCAGGCTAGGAAGAGACCAGCTCACATGCATGGCTTGCTCCTTTCTCCACCTTCACCCTGCAGCAGGAGAACAAGCAGACCACGTTATGTGTTCCCTATTAACAGCTGTTCCTGAATCTTGAAGGAGATTCAGACCTTTTAGCCTTCCAGAAATTCTCAGGTGTTGTCCATATTCTTGAGGTGGGTTGACCCTGGCTGAATGCCAGGTGCCCACGAAAGCTGCTCTGTCACTGCCCCTCCTCAACCAGGCAGGGGGAGAAGAAATACAACAAAAGGCTCATGGGTCAAGATAAGGACAGGAAGAGATCACTCTTACCGTCACGGACAAAACAGACTCAACTCAGGGAAATTGGTTTCATTTATTACCAATCAAATCAGAGTAGGATAATGAGAAAGAAAACCAAACCTTAAAAACACCTTCCTCCCACCCCTCCCTTCTTCCCAGGCTTAACTTTAATCTCAAATTCTCCACCTCCTCCCCTCCAGCTGCCCAGGGGACGGGGAATGGGGGTTGGGGCCAGTTCATCACACGTTGTCTCTGCTGCTCCTTCCTCCTGAGGGGCAGGACTCCTCACTCTTCCCCTGCTCCAGCGTGGGGTCCCTCCCATGGGAGACAGTCCTCCACAAACTTCTCCAACGTGAATCCTTCCCACAGGCTGCAGTTCTTCACAAACTGTGCCAGCGTGGCTCCTTCCACAGGCTGCAGTCCTTCAGGCACAGACTGCTCCAGGGTGGGTCTCCCGCAGGGTCACGAGTCCTGCCAGAAAACCTGCTCCAGCGTGGGCTCCTCTCTCCACGGGGCCACAGGTCCTGCCAGGAGCCTGCTCCAGCATGGGCTTCCCACAGGGTCACAGCCTCCTGCAGGCACCCACCTGCTCCAGCGTGGGGTCCTCCACGGGCTGCAGGTGGATATCTGCTCCACCGTGGACCTCCACGTGCTGCAGGGGGACAGCCTGACTCACCATGGTCTTCACCACGGGCTGCAGGGGAATCTCTGCTCTGGCACCTGGAGCATCTCCTCCCCCTCCTTCTTCACTGACCTGGGTGTTGTAGAGTTGCTTCTCTCACATATTCTCACTCCTCTCCCCAGCTGCAATTGTGCAGGGTTTCTTCTCCCCTTTCTTATATATGATATCCCAGAGGTGCTACCACCAACACTGATGGGCTTGGCCTTGGCCAGCAGCGAGTCCATCTTGGAGCCGGCTGGCATTGGCTCTATCGGACACAGGGGAAGCTTCCAGCAGCTTCTCACAGAAGCCACCCCTATAGTCTCCCCACAACCAAAACCTTGCTACACAAACCGAATACAATTTTTCTGAATAACACTACCCTCAAAGAAATCTGCCACCCAATGACAGCCTCACAGAAGACTGAATGCAACAGGAATCATTTCTGATGTCTTCCTCAGTAGGTCGTCTTCTCTCTACCGCTTGCTCCAAAAGAGCCAATTCACAGCTTCTGTTGCTGCCTGCCTCCTCCTCTCCCTAGCTGGTCTTAAAATCCAGTGTGATTGCTTTCCCTACTTAGCCCAGCCACAGCAACTGCTCACTACTCCTTCACAGCTGGAATTGCACCTCCTGGATCTCCCTATTATAAACACACTGCCAACCATGATGTACAGGGCCAAACGGTTAGGTGACAAGATACCAAACAAATGGGTAAGTAGAAATGACTCTGTTCTTGGGGTCACCCCCACAGTATGTGAGAGAGGCAGAAAAAGCTATGAGATACCCTAGGATTGCAAAGAAATGTATTTCAGATACAGTAAGAAGAAAGAACATTCTTTCATACAGTAAATAAGGTAAAATTAGCTGTTAATTAATTTAAGAACTAATAATGAAAAAATAAGGTGCTATTTTCTCTGCTAAAAGAAAAATATCACAGTAATTCAATATTATTGAATATTATTATTATTCAATATTCGATATTTGTTGAAATAGTAGATGATATATTAATCTTTCCCATGAAGAGAAATCATCTTACAAAACCTGAATGTCATTTTTGATTTAAGGCTTCAATTTGTTTCTGAAACTAGAAACAGAGATTCCCAAGTATTAAGTATAATATTAAACTCTCTGTTAAAGATTTTTCCTCACATCCTAAACCAAGGATAAATAGAAACTTCAAAGGAAGAAAACTGAATAGCCACACCTAAATGGAAGACCATATTACTGCTTTTGACATGATTTTATTTACAGTGGAAATGCCCGTTACTCAGACTCCAGGACTACCAGGCCTAAGTCTGTTTGTCCAACCCAGATGGGTATTATGAAAACCAGAACATTTTTCTTTCTAGAATTAGTGATCCTACAGGATTTCACACAACTAATACAGCACATCACACCAACCTAAAGCAAACAGCAGCTTTAAGCCATCTACAAAACTACCTGATCCACAGCTGTCTCAGGGGCATCTCCCAAGACACAGCGATTTCAAGCTCCCTGAAGCAAAGGAGGAATTACATCAGCCATATTACCTCAAAGGGCAAGCAGGCACTCTCCCTTTGTCATACAGGCCAAGTGGAGCTGGCCAAAAAGTAAGTAGCGTCACCAATCCTGTCCTTCTATATAGCAATTTAAATACTTCAGATCCTCCTACCCTTCTTTTGGAATATAAAACCTGAGGAAGATTCTTCAGACCTTGCCAGCCTCAATCTGATACACACATGAACAATTTAAATTTTAACATATGACTTTTTCCTATTTTGGTATTGATCTTCACACATATTGAATCCCTTTATAGTAGGTAGTAAGATACACTTACCCATGTGTATGAAAAAAACCCAAAACACTCCAGAGAAAAAGGAAAATATTCTTTTAGTGCTGAGAACCCACACAAATTCTATATCGTCACACTACTCTGTGACATGCTAGAAATCATTCATCAAGGAGACATTCGGCTCCATCAGTTAATAACTCTTTTTCTCTACTGCAGTATTCTCTGCGCACCACCATCAGCAGCACATTGTTTGCCTACTTATCTCTAGGCAATTCCTCTGAATGATTTAATGCAGCGATTTTTATTTTTAAATCCTTTCCATTACTGACTGTATGCAAGTTGAAAACAATTATTAAAAACATGGGAAAATAAACAACACAGTGCTTAGATGAAAAACAGAGCAACTGTAAAACTAAACAGTTGTGTGGGAAAAGCTTTAGACCTTTAAATAGTAACATAAATGCAACACAGGTCACTTTCTTACCAATTCTAAGTCAAGTTGCCCTTGTGAGAAGTTTACTGCCTTCAAAGGCTGGGAAATAGCCAGTTCACTTCTTCACTTTGGGGTTGGTTTTTTTTTGTTTGGTTGGTTTTGGTTTTTTAAAAATAAATATAGTGTTATATGAAAACATGGTGTATATATCTCTCTCTCAATCACACACACATATACACTTTCTGGAAATACTAGTTTCCTGCTTTTAGACAATAGTACCAAAAGAAAAACATTTCAGAAGACATTGGGAAAGGACACAAGGAGAGACCAGCTTTTCAAACCACCCTATAATAAGTTGTAAGTGATGAGTCAGGATCTTAGCTGTCATTGTTAAACAAGCATATACCACAGGGCTTTTTTTCTTTTCTTTCATATAAAACACTGCTTTTCTTAAAAGCAAAAGCAGATGAGTGACAGAAGAGAAGAAAGACCACACACAAAAAATAAAAACCTTCCAAGTCATTGTAAACCCAGTACATTGGGTTGACATGTAAACCTAATATGATCATCAAATCTGACCTTGAGCAAGGACTCCTCTTGCAATCTTGACCTGTATTTCATCAACACCACCACAAACTGTCATATTGTAAAAATTAAAAGTTAAAACAGACAACAAATATATGTAAAAGTATAATATATACACACACACACACACAATGTACCAAGTATATATCAAAATAGAAGATATAGATACCTGGAACTCCAATGTTGCTACAGCAATCATACCAGTCATTATTTTGACACACTAGATACCAATTCAGATCATTCCCACTTAATATTTCCATGAAACTTTCCAACTTTCAACTATTTATTCTGAGAAAGGAAAGAGCATAAACACACATGCAAAAAGACTACTGTAAACACTGTTAATCACCAGCTCAAGAGATACACTTCTCCAATTGAGAGCTCTGACAAATTAAGGTAACTTCTACAACTGCAGTAAAAGTGATAATTTTTTTCTTCTCCAATTTAAAGCATTTTTTGTTTGAGTTAAGCATTTATACCTAACCACTGCAGGGCAAGAGAACTTTTGCCTCAGCTTAAATTCTGAAAAGCGTTCTCAAAATACTCAAGGTCACTTGACCAAAGACATTTTCTGATAAGGATTTATAGACTTCTCTCTTTTCTTCAGTAAAGTCACGTCCACAGATCTTTTAATGGGATTTCATCAATAACATGCAAGCCAAGAAAGCAAAATTACAGCTTAATATATAACTAAAGTGAAAGAGCTATACGCAGAGGTTGCTGCTAGAAGTACTGCAGTATATAATGCAAATCTCTTATAAAGAGAATTTTGCATTTCAGCTTTAGAAGTGTCTAGAGTGGAAACATGTACAAGACCAGATGACCACAAAGATGCTTAAGTTCCACAAGTAACATACCTGTACACTTTGCTTACAATAAAACCTGAGCTTTTGACCAAAAAGAACCTCCTTGAGCTGTGAACAGAAGGGAATTCTATCCACAAAGCTTCAATCTGGATGAAGACCCACAGTAGCCTCTGTGAACATTACTATGCTAATGAGAAAAAATATTTTAAGAAGGGATCCTGGAACACCAAGTGAGATATTCTGAAAGCATCTTGGAAAGATGGAACAAGATAATGCCATCTGCATCAATTTTCCTTTCTTGATTACTGCTTCCCTCCCATTACAGAGAAAAAGCACATAATTCTCCATTATTGTCACCTCATGGTAGCAGCTGCCTCGACCTCAATTATTTTGAAGAAGCAAACAATGAAAAGTAAAATTAGAATGATTTGTTATATAATAGTTATTAAGGCTTAGACACATACATTCTCTCAATGAAGCTTCAAAGGAGCAAGTTAATTTTCACTTGGCGTTTAATTTGCTGAGACGTAACAAAAAGTTACGGAACAAACAGAACTATACCTCTGACAATCAGGATGGCAGCTAGTCACCAGGGCACATTTCTTTTCCATCCTTGCCTCTGCTTTCACAATTCTATTTCCTCCCTCGGAGGAGAATGAAAACAAGCTCCCCTCACCCCATCCACATTTTGTTCTCTTTTCCCTAACCAGGAATCCACATAATCTCTGTTAAGGGAACAACTGAAAAGCCAGTTGCTACATATCTTCATTGTCTCAGCTAACAAAACATCATTTACCTTGGGGGTTTGTTTTGGCTTTTTTTGCTCAGCCTTCTCATTGCGTGCTCTGCAGGGTGGTTCCTTGTGAAGAAAACCTTACAGAACAGAGAGCAAATGTCATCAGGACTGATTCTAAAAGCCAAGCATAAGACAACCAGGAGAAAACAAGGTGTGGAGAAGGCAGTCTGGCTCAGTTGTTTCCTGTTCTTAGCTATTCTTTCCAATCTGCTGCTTCCATTGACGCTGCTGCTATTCCACTAGTCACCATCAGCACCTCCAGGGACTATGAGCTCTCCAAGGACTTCAGCACAGTATTTACACTCCAGGGAGCAGCTGTTATTTACCAACTCCTGTCATGCACTTTTTAAATTGGTTAGTTAATTTATTCATATACTAGACATGATCCTATGCTCTGTTCTTTACACATTCTACTCCTATTTTATATCTTTTAATTCTGTAACTTGGACACTTGCTGCATATCTTTACAACATAATATCATTCTATTTTGTGAAGACAACATTCATTAATCATCTGATGGGACTACAGACTTCTTACTCATTGGTCTACTATCCAGTAGCTTATTAGTCACACCTCCAAGCTCCCTTGCTGTTAGTTGTACAGCTACAATAATCAGACTTTGTATTTTGTAGGTCTGCATACTATTGCTTTAGCCCATAAGGTTGTTGGATTTGAGGGAGGAAAAAGGGGATAGGGGTCTTTTTTGTTGATGGGTCTGGAAGCCTTAAACATTCCTTCCAGTACCAGAGGAGGAAAAGTAATCTACCTTCCCAAGAAATTCTCAGTCTGTTGCAACTCAGGTATACAGGGTGAAGCTCATCCTTTCCTTCAATGCTTTAAAACAGGCAGAAGCTCAGCAAGAAAAGGAGCTGACCTAACTACCTGTTTTACAAAAGCATCTCTCTGTTCAGAAGAACAAAAGACAGGATATACTTAACAGATCTATCTTCAAATACCTAAGAGTGTATGAAATCTGTAATTGTCAGCATTCTCTAGGACTTTATGCAGATGCTTTATTCGGATGCAAAACACTCCCAAGGACAACCTGACTGTCCACTGTGAGTTTCTACAGAACCCTGCTTCTTACACTGGGCAAACAGAGAGACACCAGAGAGAGGTTCACAGCCCTTGCAACACATATGCTAATTAGTAGAAAGGATCTAGCAGTTCTGGCAGGATCCCTGAGAGTGCCTCCAGAAATCTCAGCAAAACAGCTCACCTACTTCAGGCCAAAACAAATCAGGTGCTTCCCTTTGCTACCTCAGTCAGACTTCTTATCACACCTCTTTATGACCACAGTTCCAGACTTAAGGTTAAATTCTTGCTTTCTGTACTCAATCTGTCCTTCTCCTCGCATGAGAAATCAGTTTCTGAATGACAGAAAGGAAACTGGCGGGGGGTAAGATCAATTACAGAAAAGACCTTGTGTCCATGCAGATGGACCAGGACAAAAAGTTCAAATCTTGCCAGAGAATGAATGTTTTCACAGACAATCTTGGATTTTCTAAACTAGAGAATGCTTTTAATCTTAATCAATACCCTGAGATATTCATCTTCCCTTGAATGGCTTCATATTTTATGGGTGTAAAAAAAAAAAAAAAAAAAGCTTTTCCTGTCACCCTCCCAAAATTTGGTAGTTATTCTGAGAATCCCTTCTTGCTGAAGATTTGAAGAGAACACTTCTCCCTTCCAAACCAATATAAACTTCAGGTTCTTTTACCTGTGGAAGAGAAAGATTTACAAACAAACCAGAGTACTAAAACACTGGAGGAAAACAAAATCCCTCTGACAGTGTCAGCTACCTTGAATGTTTCATGGAGCTACTCCAGAAGTCTTTAGGTGAGAAGTTAAAGCTTTTCAGTAAGAGCTGGCTGCCATAATACTCAAGTGAAAGAGCATGATTCAGACAAACTGTATGAATGAGCACTACTTTTCCCCACAAATCAGACTGAATGGGCTACACATTTTCTGCAAAATTATCAGTATCAGTCTAGCACTGGTCACTTGGACACTGGAGGCAGATGTCTGGGGATCAGTGTCTATTGCAAGAGACACTACAGATTTTCTTTTTTGCCTGTTACATTGGAGCTCGCTGTGGATACTCCACACCTGTAGGTAACGCATGACATCTGCTACCAGTGTAAGGTTTGTACAAAACCGCAAGTAGTAAGTGCTAGGGTTCCTCCACCATGAGCTCTTTTCTTGAGCATTTGCTAATCTACCTGCTATATTAACCATATCCTACTAATAGTCACCTACTGACACTTACCATTTACTATCAAAGACGACTCAAGGGGAGCAGGGTGTTGGGATCTTGAGGTAAAATCACAGAGAAAAGACAAAGCAGACAGTGTCTGCCAAGGTTGTTTCCCCTACCCCGAGTTGCTTCCAGTGATCCAGAACCAAAAATTATAGACACAAAAGGAAGGAGCTTGCAAGTTCAAGTAAATCTTGGACAGCAACTGGCTGCCATCTAGACAAGCAGGAAGCACACTGTTGATATTTTAAACCACAGAATGCAGCTTTGAAAACACAGCTTATAAAAAACACCTTGCAGGAAATTATTCTTACACAATTTTACTATAAAAATTACCTCAAAATCTGCAAGGAAAGTAATTAGTTTTAGTGATTAAACATTGTTCATAAGCAGATGTTATTGTATGGGCTCTTCTGAGTTGCAGTTTTTCGCACACATTTCAGAAGGATCACTTTGGTGAAGTTAATAGCTATAGCACAGAGCTTGAAAGCATATTTTGATTATCAGCAATTAAGGCACATTTGTGAATTTTAAGCATTCAAAAGAGCATCTAAAAGGTTGCTGCTAGTCATTAAGTCAACATCAGCAATCACAGGAAAATTCTATTAGTTAACTGCGATATAGCATAGTATTGAAAAAACCTGTGGTTTGTACTTTGAGTGAAATCAGTCTTCAGAAGAGAAAAGGCCATGTTGCACTGGAACATGAATTACACATTTCAGTATGTGTAGCTTCAAGGATGACGTTTCTCTCAGAACACATGGTGCTAGATAATGTAACTCTGAATCTTTTGTAATTTCTCGGTTTTTAAAAATGATTCCATTACACCTGGGAATATATAAACACACACAGAGCCATTCAGAGTAGTCCAATATGCCATATAGTACGTACCCAAATTTCTGATTGACTCTTCCAGTGATTCTGCCCTTTCACAACACTGCTTATACTTCCTTTCACCCCACTCCCAGGTAGCCACCTAGCTTGTAGTGTCCAAGCATAAAATAAAATTTTATTTCTGTCATTTAAACAATTCTCAGGTGTGTAGTATACACCAGAATAACCTTCAATTTTAATCAAAGTAGATATGACTTCCCCATCTGACAGTCAATTCACCTCATATTCTGAAAAGCAAGTGAACTGTTACTATCAAGGCTATCTAATCTTGCCATTCCTGAGCCTTGAATAAAGTGTA